CAACAGTGGTTTATATACAAGACTACTATATACATACATACATGTGTTGGGCAAATACCAGGCAATGAACCAATCTTCAACTCTACATGGACTGTTTTTCACATTTATAACTGCAGTTTCCCTATGTTCATGTGATCAAAATTCAGATGCTTGATAGCTGATTCATATTTATAATGGTTGCAAGTATTGAGGTAATTCCCCGTTAGGAGAATGAGCGCTTACAGGGAGACTTATAGAGATTAGTGTTGGAATAATACACACAGAGCATACAGATACACTGTACAGTAAATGTAGGTTTTTTACTTCCAGAAAGGTTTAAGCAAAGTCCAAAATAAGCAGTCCAAAAGTCATTCACAGGTAAATCAGTCAGTTTTTCAATCCAGGGATAATCCAAATATCAAATTCCAGTGTCAAAAACAGTTCAGTATCAGACTTACATCAAATCCAGTAATATCAGTCAATTAGGAAAAATGGAGGAATGGCAATACTTTCCAACAGAAGGAAACAGATACTCACTCAGACACACTCTCTTCTGAGACTAAGACTAAACAACCCAGGTTTCTGGCTCCATCTTATGGCTGTTTGAGAAACCACACCCAATTGCATGCTCTTGCATTCCCTTAAAGATATAGTACTAAAATGTTTATCCTGATTTATATATTTCTAACCCAAATACCTGTTAGGTGACTTATATTCCTAACAGCAGTGTCCTGGGTCATGCAATCATCTTTTGTGACTGTCATTGGCCCTATCAGAGCTTGAGTCAGCAAAGAAGGATGAGCCGGAGCTGGGGCCAACGGAGGTCAAAGAGACAGCCTCCTTGGCTTTGGAGAAATGTGGGGAGGAGTTGGACGAGGCAGCCCCAGGTCCCTTGGACTTGGGACAGATTGCCAGCAAGGAAGACCAGGGGCAGGATGATCAAGAGAGAGGGCAGGGAAGGCAGGCAGGAACAAATACTGAATTTGTGGAGTTTTGTGTGCTGTTGCTGATGTCTGGAGTTTGCTGGACTTCTTGCCTAGTGAGTGAATGAATGAGTGAATGAATGATTTTTTTATTGGCCAGATGTAATTAGACATACAAGGAATTTGTCTTGGTGCATATGCTCTCAATGTACATCAAAAGAAAAGATACATTTGTCAAGAATTATAAGGTACGACACTTAATGATAGTCATAGGGTACAAATAAACAATCAAATCATACTAGGAAACAGTCAATATAAATCGTAAGGATACACGCGATAATATTACAGTCATACAGTCCCAAGTGGGAGGGGATGGGTGATAAGGAGTGGTGAGAAGATTAATAGTAATAGTAGTGCAGACTTTGTAAATAGTTGGACAGTGTTGAGGGAATTATTTGTTTAGCAGAGTGATGGCATTTGGGAAAAAACTTTCCTTGTGTCTAGTTGTTCTGGTGTGCAGTGCTCTATAGCGTCATTTTGAGGGGAAGAGTTGAAACAGTTTATGTCCAGGATGTGAGGGGTCTATAGATATTTTCACAGTCCTCTTTTTGACTCGTGCAGTATACAGGTCCTCGATTGAAGGCAGGTTGGTAGTAATTGTTTTTTCTGCAGTCTTAATTATCCTCTGAAGTCTGTGTCTGTCCTGTTGGGTTGCAGAACCAAACCAGACAGTTATAGAGGTGCAGATTCAGTAATTATGATAGATTCAATAATAGTTACTTTGCTTTGTGGACTCCTTGTCTTGGTCCCTTGCCTCACTGGATTTCCTGCCTGGAAGCCATTGTGCTAACAGCATTTTGCTGGACTACTCGCAGCCAGAGGCTGCTGGAGGTGTGTATGTGTGTGTGTGTGCTTGTGTGTGTGTGTGTGTGTGAGCGAGCATTTTGCTCTGGGACTTGCCATAACCATGGGAGGGTTTGGGGGAAAGTTAGCGCGAATAAAGGGGAGTTTGAACTATCAGCTAACTGTGTTGCCTCTGTGCCTTGCCCCGGGTTATCACAGCGACCTTCTGATGAGTAAAGTCAATGGCGAAGCGAGATTCACTTAACAATCATGTTGCTAACTTAACAACTGCAATGAGTCTGTCATGCCCTGTCAGAATCTGATTCAGAGGGGGAGGTTGAGCAGCTGACAGGGAGTGGGAGTGTGACTCCAGCGGCTGTGGAAGAAACTGGGGAAGGGCAAAGTCCAGCTGGGCAGAGCAGGGGAGAGTTAGAGAAAAGCAGAGGGAATTCAGAAGAAGATACAGGCCCATCCCTTCTTCATCCTAGGGCAAGCAGGGAGGAACGGAGAAGGGCGCAACGTGAATTATGTGGCTTGTGGGGGAGGAAAGGGCCCTGATTCTCTTCATTAGCTGCAGCTGGAAACACAGTGTTGAAAAAGGGAGATTGCGTACAGAAACTTGTTGGAAGCAAATCATGAGTCATCTTTTATTGTCGAGGCTTTTCTGGGTTCCTGGCATCTTTCCAACTGTGTGTGTTTTGTTAGCCTTTGAAGTCTGCAATTCCTTATCCTACCCTGTCCAGTTAATTGCTGCAGCGTGGTTTGATGGATTTTTATTTACAGTTTATATGTACTTTGTTTTCAGACTGAATTACCTCCATTTAAAGACTGTTTTTGGGAGAGTTTTTTTCTCCAGCCAAAGGTAACTGAACATTGGGGGCAAAGCTGGAGGTATTAAAGGGACTTTTCTTACTTATGTGACTGTGTTGCCTTTGTGCCACGCTCTCGGTCATCACAGAGTCACTTAACAACTGTAGGTCATAAAATGGAGCAAAACACACTTAACAACTGTCTCACCTGGGTTCAAATGCTGTCGTAAGTTGAGGAGTACCTGTATTGTGTCCAGTTCTGCACCCTGTATTTTAAAGAGGAACTAACAAGGGGTTTGGAAATCAAGCCCCATGAAGAATTTTTAAAGAAGCTTTATGAAAGAATTTTTTTTTAAAAAAAAAAATCACATCAGCGATAGCTGTAACTGATTGACTCACAAAATCTCCTTCATTTCTGGTTTCTTCCAATCCTTTTTCTCTCTCAGCATTTTAGGAGCTGGTTTTGGAACCAATTTTATACCAAACTAACAGCACTGTATAGCAACGGGAGGAAAGGCTTTTCTCTAATTAGACAATTTTAAAGCAGACACGCCACGAATTTCAGGAACATAGAAAATAGAATACAGACCTGGTCAGTTTTGGAAGAAAGGACCTTATTAATCTCAAGAGTGTGCATTTTCTTTGAATTCAAATTACTACAAAAAAGGGCTTAAGCAGACCATTTTTTTCTCCCTCCCTCTCTCTCATCTAATTTCTTTTTTTACTCATTGTTGCAGTTCCAAATGACTTCCTTCACATTTCTTGACTGTTATTCTCAGCAATAGATATAATTGATTGACTCACAGAATCTTCTTAATTCCTGATTTCTTTAAATCCTTTTTGTCTCTCAGCATTTTCAAAGCACACAGGTACTAGTCAGGTCAATATATCATCTTTGTTTTGATTTATTTAGAAGGCTAATACACTGTCTCTATACAAACCAGCTCTGCAATAGCAGAACATTATGTATTTGTATATTAATGTGTATGTGTATCTATCTATCTATCTATCTATCTATCTATCTATCTATCTATCTATCTATCTATCTATCTATCTCTATCTCTCTCTATCTCTCTCTATCAACAGAATAGAATAGAATAGAATAGAATAGAATAGAATAGAATAGAATAGAATTCTTTACTGATCATTGTGTGATCGGACACACAAAGAATTTGTCTCCAGTGCATAAGCTCACAGTATGTGTGTGTGTGTGTATGTGTGTGTGTGTGTAATTTTTGGCATATAATTTAATTTATAAACTTTGTAAATTTTCATTATATACAGATGCTTAGATGTTTTCTTCAAAAATGTAGAAAGAACTGCTTTAAAACTTCTTTAATTCTGGAGCAGTCCCATTTCCCAAGGAAGGGGAGGGAAGAGGCGAGGCAAGGAAAGGAAAGGAAAGGAAAGGAAAGGAAAGGCAGTTGCTCTTCTCCTTCCCCAACCATCCATACTGTATTCTGGGAGAGACCATTCCATAATATCTTATTATTTGGTTGTTATTTCTTCTGCTTGTCTACTCTAGATGACCGAGCCACTCAGTCCTTATTGAATTATTGATTTATCAATGTGGGAGAAGTAACCTGTTGTTCTATATTTAACCAACGTAAAGGTTGAAATTTCCTCTGGAGGTAGATACTTCCTTGTTGTTTCTCAGTAAACTTAGCTTCAACTGAATATTTGTTGGGCTTGGCGCCGAGTTCATGTAACAGATAATGGAGACTGATTCATTGGATCAGGATGAGACAATACATAAATGGATGAGAGAAGGGAAAAGGGAATTTCATGGCTCACTGGTAATCTAAAGCAGTGCTTTTAAAGTTTGTCAACTTTAAAATGTATGAACTTCACTTCCCAGAATTCCCCAGTCAGTGTCCTGGTTGAGGGATTCTGGAAGTTGAAGTCCATGCATCTTAAACTTGCCATTAAAATAAACCACTGATAGTGCATATTTTGTGGACAAGCAGTGGTCTGGTTCAGTATTCCTGAACTGCAAAATACCTCGCGAATACTTTTTTTTTGAAAAGAAGAACACACATTATAATGCTCTATTTGGCTTCTCCTCCTTTGAAACCTCTCCCCTTTCTAGAAGCAGCCTGTGACTTATGGGACCAGAATTTCCGCTGCTGAGCAAGATGGTTGTTAAGTGAACCACACTCCATTTTAAGACCTTTTCACCAAAATTTTTAAACTAATCACTGAAGTCGTCAAGTGACTCATGTGGTCATTAAGTGACTCCAACTTTCCCCATTGGCGGATCAATCATAAGTCACTTTTTTCAGTTCCAATTGTGGGAAGAAATATCCATCTGGTTCAGTTCCAAGCTGGGAGAAAGACACATGAAACATGGAGGCTGATTGGAAAGATGGTTTAATGGCGAAGCAAAACCACATGGGTTCTGGGCAGCTGACCACATGGACTTGAGTGCGGGGGGTGGGTGTTATACCCTCTCTTGGGCTTTGCAGTTGAGCTTCCACGTGTATTCTATTGGCTGTTGTCAGATAGGGGTTATGTAGGGGTCATAGCTGGCTCTATAGGCAAAGTACTAATCCTAGGTGTTTGTCTGAACTAAGTTTGGTTGATGTTTCTGAGGGTGATGCAGTGAAGGGGCTTGCGTTATGGAAAAAATATAGTTTTCAAAAAGATGAGAGCTTCAGTTATCTCCCAGAGAGATTCTAATGTTCTTGGAGTGATGAGGTGATCAAAACTCACATATGAGATAAGAACAAGGGTTCCCAACCTTGGCAACTTGACTGGTTGGGAAATTCTGAAAGTCAATATACATACACTTTTAAAATTGCCAAGACTGGAAACCGCTGGATTAGAAAGCAAGCAAGAATTGGCCTGCTTAAGCCCTTTTTATAGTAACAGGGATTGACAAACGTAAATATGGTCATTCCATTCTTAATTGACTTTGTAAAGGATATTGTGTAGCTGAGAGAGCATTCTCCATACTTTTTTTCCCAAGCATAGTTCATCTTTGATTATTTTGTCACATATAGGGTTCCATTTCTCATTGGTTTAATTCAGACTGATGACCAAACCATTTTTGTCAGAACAGTAAATGCCAATTAATTGCCTCTCTTTCAGTCTTAATTACAATTAGATTTATTTTCAAAGGAATCTTACAAACCTATATTGGGGTAGGAAGAAAGCCAAATCAATACAAGTAACAATTATGCACAACATTTTAGTTCAATTAGATTCATAGTACTATTCATTGAACTGTGAAAATTGATCCTCTGGATAAATTATTTTTCTACCATAAACAATGAACAGAGGGTATTGGTCCTCTCATGAACACAATGTTTTTCAAACATGGCAATTTTAAGATGTGCGGACTTCAACTGCCAGAATTCCCCAGCTGTTCAGCCTGGGGAACTCTGGGAATTGAAGTCCTGCCAC